TACTTTTCGCAGAACCAAAAAATGCAACAGAAATGGAACTAGTAAAACAACCTTCTTTCTTTTATAGCTCCAATCATTCAAACTCAAAAAACCAGAATTTGTAGCATTCTGTGTAAGAAATTCTAAAATTGGTTGAGGACTACGTTTACGTGTGAAATTTTACTTTTTCAAAAATCAGAGCTACTGTTCAAAAGAAAATAACTCATTGTTCCTTAAAAATTAGTAATCTTCAACAATACAGAGCACATTCACGTCTGATTTCTCCCTAATTATCGCTACTTAGTACAAGTTACCAAAAGAAACAAATCGGCCAAATAACGCCTCCTAGCCAATTCACAAAACCAAGCTTTGCGAAACAGCCTGTAACGTCACAATGGCATCCCAATCCCCAGGGATTTTCCATGGAAAGCCATATGGTGGCAGAAATGAGCAAAAATTACCTGCTTTTAAAAAGACTGCACTAGTTTCGTGAGCCAAAGCTGATATTAACGCAGGACGATGCTTCAGTTCAATTGCTCTTGCAACAGTAACTTCCTGAGCCTCAGCTGTACACTGATTAATGTAAGCGTTGAGAACAGATGGGTCAAAATCAGAACCGCGAATTGTTGCCAAGTCAGTAACTTTATCTGTACCCAGAAATTTTGGTAGTATTATTGAAGATTCACGCAAAATTTCACGTGAAAGTAAAAAAAACTGGTGTAAGAAACCAACACCTTTAATATTTTGTACAAAAATAAACATCCCAGCAGCGCGTCGCAAGGCTGTATGAACACGTTTTGCTTCACCCTCTCGAACTTCGTCTTTGCCAGCAGTCCATGCCGCATGTTTTGCCAACCACAAAGCCATATTTACACACATATTAGCCGCTTCAAACCAGCTGTCACTAACTTTACTAAAGTAGAGGCAGATGAAAACCTTAAGCCACCAACGCTCGAAATATTCCAACAGAGAACGAAATCGTAATAAATATGAAAAAAAATCGGAAAACTAACAAAGCCGTAGATCCAAGCATTGAATTGGTCCACTTGAATGAAATTACTGGAGCTAATTTGCTCCCAACATCTTCGCCTCCAACATTACCAATCGGAACTAAAAAACCAGAAAAAGCTGATAAGTATAATCTAAACTCTTCGTCAACTTCAGCCATATCACAGCTAGCGTTCCTAAAGAATTCCACTAAACGTTCCCTTCGAGATCGCAGTTCACTAAAAAAACGTAGCAAAATTAGCTATTTTAAATTAACCAGCGGTCGCACAATTAAAAAAACAAGTCGATTCAATGTAAACAAAAAAAAGGATCAATTAAAGCCCCTTAATCCTAAAAAAAATTTATTAAAATCTATAAATAAAAATTAACGAACTTGCAAATTTTGCGACTTGTTGGACCTGATAAAATAGACTTCAAGTCAAAATTAACATTCTCCGTCGCTTTGATGGGATTACGATGGAACCAGTGAGCCATTCACCTGAAAGTTTTCATAACATTACTAACGTGCAGGTTAAGTCGCATCAAAGTGAAGTTTTAACGCAAAACAGGAAGACCATCTTGATCTAATTCCACCCTTGACAAATGACAAAATTTATAGTCTTGTATCTACAAAACCCAAAACGTGAAGTTTTCTTCCCTAAACAAATTCACTTGATAAACGGGGCACCAGCAAAGGATTGACAGCCAATTAAGGATGTTAAAAATAAAACACCTATTAAATTGAACAAAAAAAAAAAA